AACACATCATACCGACAGCATCAACTTGCCACCTTGTTGATGCAGCCATCTTGGAATCGAACCCCCAGGCTTTTCATCTGATAGCAGCCTTACCAGAGACCTTGAACTAGAAGCACCGAGCTAAAATGCTCCCAAATTCCCGATCCACGAAACTATGAGAGATAATAAACGATTGTTGTTGTTTAAGCCACTAAATCTTGGGGTAATTTGCTTCATAGCAAATATGTGACGAATACAGTGGGTGTTTGTATTATCTCTGGCAAATAGGGAAACTGAGGCTCAGGACAGTTTAATAACCTGTCTGAGGTTGAACAGTCTGAGAATAGTGGACCAGGACTCTGCATCCGGGTCTGTCTGGTTCAGAAGCAGGATTACTGAGCCTTCTAGTCCTCTATGCAGCACTAATGTGGGGTGATTCCATCGACAGCCATGCGCGCAGGCAGGTAGGATCTGCACGGTAGTGAAGGCTTATGCCTACCAGGTTTTGTCCTGGTGCCTCTCTTTTGGTCTTAACATATGTTAGTAATGTTGAATTGTTTCTTATACACAGTAAATAGCCTTAGGAACCTTTCATTCAAAATCGTTTATCCTAACTTGAGTTGTATAAAATCACAGCACACAAGTGGCTTATTAAAACAGAAGGAACCACCCTTCCATAGAAGGACGCTTTGTTTTCCTTCTTTTTCTCTCCCTTCCTCCGAATCCTGAGTCCTCCCCACCCTCCCTTTTGGTAGAAGTTACTCAGCCCTCTTGTGCCCTTTGCTTGTACATGGAAGTGAGTCCTCCAGCTTTTCATCCGACCACAGCCTCATTGGAGACCCCTGGCTAGAAGCACTCAACCAAGTTCTTGGCACCACCATGCCACCCTGCAGCCCTGAGGCCACTTGCCCTACTCCCCTCAGACCATGAACTCCATAAAGCCAAGAACCCTGTTGTTTTTATCTGTCTCCCTGGCGCCTGGCACCAAAGAGGCATCCAATAAAAGTTTATTGAATGAATGAAACTTATCTGCATCGTAGGTTGTCACGAGCAACTATAAGCAGCCTGTGGGGCGAGCTGGGAGAGAGTTCTGCCCTGCAGACTGTCAGCCAAAGCACAGACCTTGTATTAGCCGGGAACCAGCTAAGTGACCTGGGCGAATTCCTCCCCCTCTGCTGGGCTCTGTTTCTTTATCTGCAGTGAGCTTCTTAGGTGCTGTCAGTGGTTCCCAAACTTGGTTGATCATCAGAATTCTCTGCAAAGCTTAAAATACTGGTGCTGGGACTCCACCCCAGGTACAAGGTCCTGCGTTCTGTCGGGGATCCCTGCACAAACTCATCTCTGTGCATCTACCCCGCCCTTATGTGACCAAACGTATAGCCAGCTTGAAGCTTTAGTTTGCAAGTCTGCAAAGTGGGGGCGATTCCTGTGGTGACTGCGCTGACAACTTCACGGAGCTCAGAGGAGACCATAATCATGGAGGCGGGGAGGGGAAGGACCTCTAAAACGCCAAACAAGTCCAGACAAGTATGCAAACTATTGGCCTTTTTTGTCCGCTTTTCTAAGTGTGGCTCAGAGTTCAATTTTGGCTAACCAACCCCAGAAGAGCACTAATGGAGGCCCCCCTCCACCCCCTTATGGGTGGGTAATCCCCTGTTGAGGCTCTGTCTTTTGCTTCTCCCACAAGCAGTTCAGATTCCCTTGAAGTCCCCCCATTTGTTTCTAACTTGGGGGTGGAGCTTTGTCTCTTTCCAGTTTCCCAAAAACTCTTGACTCTTGAGCCAACTTAACCATTTCCTCTCCTCCTATTCCACCCCCCCAGTCCTCTGACAGTTTCTCAAGTTTGTCTTCCAAATTGGCGGGTGGCCCACTAACGGACTGGCGAGCTGCCCTATGTTTGGGTCAGGGTGTAGGGATGATGCTGTAAAAAGTTGACAGAGAGCTGAGTGAACCAAGATGTGGGTGCTGTCTCATTACTCCTCCCACCGCTAAGCGCAGAGGGGACCTAGTCTACTCTGGTTTTTGTGTTCTCTTTGGAGGCCCGCCCATGGCGATTCTCGATAAGAAACGGGAGAGGGAAGATGGAGGTAAGACATCAAGGATGTATTGAGTAGTTACTCTGCACCAGGTACCAAGCTAGGTACTTTGTACATATTTTTCATAACAGCCAAGCTTTTTAACATCTCCTTTGCCATGTAGTTTACATTGGCCATCTAAGCTAATCCTGATCCCAGGCCTCACTGCAAATTGTGGTTCTCATCTTCTCTATCAGGAGACTTGGAGGAGTAAAACGTCTTCTCCCATGTCACACAGTAAGATGCAGAACCAGGATTTGAACCCTGCTCTTACTGTAGAGTCTGTCCTGCCCGACAGAAATGTTTGTTCACACTCCATATTTAGCATTTAGATTTCCAGGGAAATGCTTGGACCCGGAATGGGATGTCTTTTAAGTTTTTGGAGCCAAAGTTATTTAAATTTTATGGCTAGGAAAAATGTAAACTTACGTTTTCAGCAGACCAGAGATGATAAAGTATGCATTTGTCAAATAAAATTCTTTGCTGTGATAAAGTAAATCATTCCTTGGCCTTGTGAAAAATTAGGCCTCACTCGAACTGTTTTCACTTCAGCCTTTGCTAATATTTCTGTTATCTCCATTAGGGATTACAATGATGAATGCCTTTTATTTGCATCGTTAAGCACTTCAGTGAACGTGTGAACACGTAGAGCTTCATAAGTCATAGGGAAATGAAACAACATGGTCTCATGGAAAGAAGAAAAATCTTGAGAGTGTCTGACAGGTTGGGATTAGCATCCTGTCTCTGCCACTCTGTAGCTATGCACACTTGGTCAAATTCCTTAGCTTCTCTGGGTCTCAGTTCCCTCATGCTTAAAACATAGATGATAATACTTGCTGGGTAATTTTAAGGATGAAATGAGATGACATAGCACTTTGCACTGTTCCTGGCATGAAGTAAGTACCCAATAAATGTCGTGGTTGTTATTGGAATAGCTCTCATGGTAACTAGTTATTTAATCACATGCCCAGGGCTCATTTTAGTTACTCGTCCTCTGGGCAGCAAGACTGTGTAGGTCTTTTTGTCTGGTGGGCCCCTGGGACCTGCTGTTGTACTTCTGTCCTGGTAGAAATAGATCAGGCAGTGGACAGGTGAAGCTCATTGATAAGTGTATCTGTTGGGATCCTTTTGGCTGCAAGTAACAATCTCTAACTTAGTGTCTTAAACAAGAACATTGATCATCTCTTACAACAAGTATTCTCAGGGTGAGGTGATTCCAGGTTCGTTTAACTGAGTTACTAGGAGATGCCGCCAAGTTCCCAGATTCTTCCCTTTTTGCCACCTTCAGTCTGTTGGCTCTTAGGCTGTATCCCTCATGGTCCCAAGATGGCTGCAGTAATTCCAGGCATCACATCTTTATACCACAAAATGCAAAGGCCAGAAAGAGAAAATAGAGAGAGGGCCAGTCTCATCCTCATGTCTCCTTCAAAGAAAGAAGAAAAATTTCTCCAAAGCTCCACTTCCCAGAAGACTTCTCAGCCCTTTCGTTGGCCAGAATTTTATCAAATGCTCATCCCAGACCAGTGGTATGGGAAATGGTTAGGGCCAGCGATTCTCAACTCTGGCCGCGAATGAATTGGGGAGTCTTAAAAATACATACAGATGTCTCGGTTCTACCCTTAGAGACTGATTTAATTGGGCTCATTTGAGACCTTATGCAGGCACATGTATTGTGTATACACTCCAAGAAGCAACGATGAGCATCTGGGGTTGAGAATCATTAGTTCAGACTCTCCATGTTTTACCCTCTGGGAGGGGGAGCATCTTAGTGTTCACTGAAGCACATGGCCCTAGGCTGTCTGAGCCAAGGAAGTTCTGGAAAGGGGAGTGTGGCTGCTGAGTGGATATCCAAAAGGATCTGTCCACACAGGTACAGTTAGGATGTCTGGATCAGGCCACATGATATTGCGAAAAGAACTTATGTTAAAATTTGACGGATCTGAGTAAGAACTCCATGTCTGCTACCTGAAAAGCGCGTCAGTTTGGTTAACTTAATCCTCCCGAGCCTCAGTTTCCTTATCCAAACAACGGAGAGAATGCTGCCTCCCTCTGGGAGTAGTTCTGAGGTTAAATGAGAGCAAGGAATCGAGAACAGCTGACCCAGATTAGGGCTAAGTACATGCTAGTTAACATCCCTGGAGGTCAGATTTTCCTATTCCAGAGCAGAAAACGTCATTGGGGCTGCCGCGGGGTCCCTTTGGCCTGTTGGACGTGGTTGTGACCTGAATACTTGACCAAAGCGACAGCAGCAGAGTTCCTCTGTGTTGTTTGGACGGGAGCCTCGGCACAGAGCTGGTCAGAAGGAGGCCCTAGGCAGGGTTGGGTGGAAGGTTTTCGATGACCTTGTAGGAAAGTGTGAGGTGTGAGTTCTGGCTGCATTCTAGGGTGTATCAGAGCCTGCAGAGCCTGTGCCTCACTGCTTAATGGAAGTTCTGGGCACGGCCAGTCTCCTCCCCGTCAACCCGGTGGCCTCTTTATCTGCCTCCTGTCCAGAAAAAAGTCAAGCGTAAACTAACAGTTCATGGAAATGGGATGTCAGGTCACTGAACCAGTATGTTACAGTCAATCCGTTAAAAACAGAGGGCTCCCCATTTGCAAATGTCTCCTCGATAAGCTCTTATAGCATATACGACCCAGGAAAGTGAATGGCGTCTTACCAGCCCTGGAATCACTGTCCCCTGTGCTTGTCCAGATGACCTCGCGGTGCAGCTAAGTCCAGCCTAATGCAACCCAGCTCGCGTGGACCCACCTGAGCAGAGCTCTGCTCCTTCTGGGCTGGGACCCAGGGATTTCTAAGGAGGAGCAGGTGGGGACCTGCATCTTTGAAAGACTCAGGGCAAGAAGGACAAAGTAACTCCAGGAGCCTGCATGGTAGAGGGCGCCATCACAGATTGAGAGGCCAGGCAAGCCTGGGCCGGATCCCGGTCCTCAAGCTCCATGCTGTGTGGCTTTGGAAAGCTAATGAGTCGTTTCTGGTATGTGTTTAACCTCTGCAGATTTAACTCCACAAACTTGTAAAAGTGCTTGAGAAGAAGAGAGATGACTATGAATAACCTGGGTGATTTGCCCACCAGTCTATTAGTGAGCACGCAGCCGGAGTGAGAGGTAGGAGATGTGAATCTGTGTCTCCAAGTCAGTTTGGGTTCTGCTTGTCTATGCCGCGAGCATCTTGCCGTGTTGGGTGTGAGTCAGGCATTGCGGGCAGCCATGGACCATTTTTTGCCTTGCTTGCTGACTTTGGAATCCAAGTCCTGTGCAAGGTGTGGTCCTGTCCTATCTACCCAAGATAGTGGTGGCACCGCCTAAGCCACCTTATGGTAGTTCCTCTCCGGAGTGGGCGGCTACTTGAGGGAGGAATTTGCTGCTTCTCCACCTGCCTGCTCTCCTAGAACCTCCATTTCATAAATAGGAACACTGCAACTTGGTGCCTATCTGCTCCCACTTCATCGTCAAACGGAAGCAGAGGCAGGAAATTCCACTGTGACTCACCGTCTCTAGCCCAGTTGGTCAGCTCAGCGGTGAATTCCTGACTCAGACGCACCAGTGAGTTCCTTCTTTAGGATTACTGAATTTAGGAATGGAATGGTGGCTTGGAAATACAATACAGGGACAGAGTTTTGCTGGCATTCAAACCCTGTTTCTAATGTGTCCTGGAGTCCAAATTCCTATTTGTCCTTGAAAGAGACCCAACATTCTTCTAAGAAACTCACATGCTTACCCAAACTAGGTCAAGGTAGGTTTCAGTCACTTGCAGCCAAAGTCGTCCTAGGCAGCATGATAGTTTAGATTAGAAAATGACCCCATGTCAGTTGGATTAGAAGTTCAAGATCAGTTCATTGGCTGAGGTTCTCACAGCCTGTCCTGCCTGAAGAATGAGCCCCGATGAAAGACACCGGGGTGGCCGCCGAACTGAAGCGATTAGGGGAGGTCTGAGCCACCATGGCCTGAGGCAAACCTGTGCACTCTAAGTGTACCCCATGTAGATGACAGTCCCTCAGACCACGCAGTCAGGGTGCCGGGGCCTGTCCCCAGACAGAGCTAAGGAATCAGATGGCATGCGAAGACTCAGCGTTGCCTGCCCCACGATGACGCTTTCCTCTGGGGACTGGCTCAGCTTCAGAGCTTCGGTTATTCTTACCTAGGGCACAGCTCTCCCGTTCTGCTGCTTTGGGTAAAACCCTAACTCACTCTTGGGAGGCAGTGTGGGCCCGAGAGTTAGAAGACCTAAATTCTAGTTTGCTATGTGATTATGAACAATTCGTTTCATTTCCCTGGTCCTCTCCCGACTGGTTCGTAAACTGAGAGAATGAGGGAACGGAACGAAAGGTTCGTCCTGCTATCTGCTTCGACTCTTGTCAGCCAACTCGACTTCTCCATTCTCACCCAAATTACTATGTAACGTTCGGTGCACAGAGTCAGGAGTGCAAGAAATATATCTTCAGCGTTCTACAAGGAACTTATGTTTTGTCCCAAGTCCCATTTATACTTCAGTGGTCTGTCGCATCTTTCCCAGGGTCATGTACAAGTTCAGGAACCTTTTCAGAGGCTAAACCATTTAGCTTTTACAACCATCTCCCCTCACCAGCACCCACAGAGACAAATCCCTGTTATCCTTTCCGTTCTCAGTCATTGGAAGGTAAGTAATTTGCTCAGTCTCACTTTATTTGTACCCTAGCACATCAAAATATAAACCTAAGCTGCAAAATTCTAGTCAATATAGTTGTTAATATACATGTATAGGTAACGTCAAATGTAGATATAGTAGGATAGATGTGCATATATACGCCTGGGATGCCCTTTTCAAGTCTCACAATTCGATAAGTTTCATAACCCCCATTTTGCAAATGTAGAGACTGAAGCTCCATCTCCACAATTGTCTTGACCTAATAAGAAGGAGGCTTCTAGATTCGGCCCCAGTTCTGTCTCATCCCAACCCCCGGTTCTCCCCGTGAAGTCCCTGTCTCACTTACATGTTCAGAATTAGGCGAGACCTTAGGCAAAGCATCGAGTGGAAGATATGCTAATTCAGGGCTGGCTGGCACCTCAGCCACCTGCCCTCTGGTGAGGAAAGAAGCTGTCCTGTGGGTTGGAAGCGGTTCTTTGAACATTCCAACTGAAAGCCTGTATTCATGCCAGTGGCGGCCTTCAGATTCTTCAGGGAAAGGGCTGGGAAGGAAAAGGCGAGGGGTAAATTGTGAGACAGATGGGACGGTCCCGTCACGTGTAACCTGAAGGTTGGGAGGGGCGTTTCTAGCAGAGGGAGGTGCTATCTGGAGCTCTGATTCTTGGATATATTGATGCAGAAGAATGAGAATTCTTGCCTGTGGAAAATGCTGGCTATCATCAAGTAAGTCCAACTTTAACTTTTTCTTTTTAATTTCCAAAATAACAAACTTGTAGAAAATCGAAGACGAGGTGATAGGAAGCACCCACAGACTCTACATACCTTGACAAGACAGTTGGTATTCATGTTCTAGAATGTTTTCCAAGGTTTCTCTTAAAAAGAATTGTAACTCTCGAATTGGTGATCATCCTTTTCCTTTAGCATCATCTTATAATTCCTTTCCTCATATGCTCACGCAGTTTTATAGCTGTTATTTTTTGAGCGCAAAATATGTCATTGGGTAGACATATCATAATTACATAACCATTTACCTATTTTTGGACATAGTTTCCCCAACCTTTTATCTCAGTAAATGATACACTATCTAGTCTGTGCCTCACAAAGGAGTCTCCATGTCTAGCCTGCATCTTCTCGCAGTCTCAGATTGAAGCCGTGTCACCCATTCTCTCTACTTTAGTTCCAGTCTCCTGCCTGGACCTCCTGTGATCCCATCTCTCGCCTATATTTTTAACTCTTTGACAAACACGTCCAGCCATGCGTAAGGCTCTCCTGTCCTAAAACGTCACCCCCTTTGCTTTGAGTCCCCCCATTCCCTATCGAGTGTCGGTCTCCTCACCCCCATGTTAAGTCTCAGGAGGTACCCTGGCTTCTGTCTCTTGCAGGCCACTAGAATTGCCCTTTGCAAAGGCTCCCACATGGCTCCCGTGGACCTTCCTCAGCAAGCATCTCTAGGAGTTGCTTCTCCCCCTGGCTCCTTGGCCTCCGTGACGTTGCTCTGTCGGTCGCCCTCCGACCTCCCCGTGCCCGCGGGCTCCATCTTGCCCTGGTCTGTCTCGCCCATTCCTTGCATATCGGTGCTGCCTGGAATCTTATTCTTGGTCCTCTGCTCTTACTCTAGACTCTCTTTATCTGGAGTTTTATTCATTCTCTGTGTTACTCACTCTCATGCAGTTGCTAACCTCTCCCCCATCCCTCCCCACCACAGCTTAACTCTTGGCCCTCCTCTCCTGCCTGTTATTCTGTGATACCCCTTTCATGGACCTCGAGGCCTTTAGGATGATTATCCAACACAAACGTGGCTGTGTCGCCCTCTGTTTAAAACTCCCGATGGCTTCCCATTGCATGTGGGACGCACTCCAGGTTCTCTGCTCCTTATGCAGCCTGGGCCTCGCTTACCCCTCTTGCTATTTTTCTGCCACTCTGTCTTATATTCTGTGCTTTATAGCCTGAACTACTTACAGTTTAACTGTGTTAATTGCTCAGTAGGTGCATTATTCCCTTTGCCTGTAATCTCTTCCCTAATTTCTCACTTATTCACTTCCTTTTTTTTTTTAAGCCTAAGCATCACCATCTCAGAAAGCCTTGCCTGATCTCCCTCCCTCCCTCAGTGGGCCTAGTTCACGTGTCTGTCTTCCTTAGGAATTCAAGTAAATGTTGAATAAATTAATTTAAATTCCATCTATGTGCCTAGCAATTCTATGTGATTTACTGATCACTCTAGCTCAGAATAATGTGTTGGGGTTTCTTTCTTACTATAAAACCAGAGGAGAACTGTATCTGTAGGATCATCCAACGTTCCCCAACTGGGCCAAGGGTTGGGATTTCATCTTTGACCCCCTAACTTCCCGTCCCAGGCATTGACTTGGAGACCACAGCAAAGCTCCCAGAATTTCAAGGCGCTGGACAAACCCTCTGCCCCACAGATTAATTTTAGAGTCATTGAAATTCTGCCAGCTCTGGGGGAAGCGATTGGGAGCCAGGCTGACAACCAGCAAAGGAGGAAATTACTCTGTGTCTATTTCAAGATGAGAGAGTTGTAACCACGGTCCCTCCCCCAGTGATGCTGTTCGAAAAAACATAAATTTAATACTTTCATGAAACTCAATCTCCTAACCATAAGTGTTTCAGGGCTCTGTTTGATGTTCAGGAGAAAGAGCCTGTCGCCAGTGTCTCCTGCACACATGGCGTGAAAGCCGCCTCACACACGAGCCCGGCGTCTGGGGTCCCCGACTCTCTGGAAGGAAGGGTTAATGCTTGTCTCAGTAACTCAACAAACATTCCTCCAGGGCCCACACGGTTCGAAACACAGTCGTTGCTGGAGAATGAGCGCAGATTTCTGAGTCAGACGAAAGGGTGTTCGAATCCTATCTGGACCCCTAACTGGTCACAGATCATCGGCAAACCTCCTCCCCACCGAGCTTTGGGTTCCTCTTGTGTGGAATGGGGTTATCATGCACTTTTCAGGGGTACAGGAGGGATTAGGTAAGGTAGAGTAAGAAAGAACCCGCCTAGCACAGTGCCTGGTACCTAAATCTTTATTTAAAGAAACTAGGAGAATCTAGTTTCTGACAAATATCATTTGAGTCGACAGTCGTGTCTCTCCTCTCACTACAAGTAGCATTAACAACCATTCGGGATGCATCACTTAGAAATGTATTCGGCTGCAGCAGCAAAGCCAGTGGCGGGTCAGTAAATGATTAAGAATTGACTCTTTGGGGAAAAATAAAAGCCTGATTTGTAGCGTTTGCTGATTTCCAGGGTGGAAATACTCCCGCCATGGCTGATTTAGCTACCAGTGTGATGGGACTGCGTGCGGAGCTGGGAAACTGTGTAATATCCCACATAGCATAGACCGGGGCACACCGTGTAGACGGGGGATGTGGGGTGTCGCCGCCATTCAGGTCCAAGAGCACAGAGAGTAGTAAAATTTGTAAAATATTGAGGAATTGATTAATTTCGAGTATTTATTACCTTTATTTTTAATGTAATTTATTTGATTGTGAAGTTATCTAACTTAATTTTAAATAATGTTTTTGTTTAACAGCTGACCCACAAAGTTTCTAAAAACTTAACAATTTTCTCCCAGGAGCTAGTCGGGCCAGCTCCACTGCACAAAGTCTTACTACAAGGGACTCAGCATAGTACGTTTCGTTTGTCTCATGTGACAGGAATTTGAGGATGAGCAGCGCAGGACTGGTGTCTTGGTGGAGCCATTGGGGGCGGAAAGCTGTCCTGAGCGAGTCCTGCGTCGTCGTGGATCTTGCCGCACAGTTGCAAGGTGGCTGCTACCCGTCGGGCTCTTCATCCACATCCCATGCAGCAAGCAGGGGGAAAGGAAAATGGATGACGAGTGTTTACCTGGGAAGAGATGCTGTATTAGTTTCCAATTGCTGCTGTAACAATTACCACAAATTTAATGCAGGAAACAGCAGCGGCTGAAACAACACAGGTTTATTCCAGTTCTGAGGTCAGAAGTCTGAAATGGGCTGCAGTCGAGGTACCAGCAGGGCTGTGTTCCTTTGTGGAGAAGCTATTCCCCTGCCTTTTCCAGCTTCCAAGGGGCCACACAGATCCCTTGGATTGTGACCCCTTCTCGCTCCACAGCCAGCCACGGCTGGTTGAGTCTTCGCTACGTTAGTCTGACTCTGCTTTTGTTGTCCTACGGCTTCTCTGACCATCACACCTCCCTCTCTCACTTATAAGGACCCCGTCCTAACTTCGGGCCCCCCCGCATACTCCTGAATAATCTCCCCGCCTTAATCTCCCTTTACCTTTTGTCAGAGAAGGAAATATCTTCACAAATCCCCGCGATTAGGACACAACTTCAGGCCATTATTCTGCCTGTCACAGACACTTTC